TGACCAGCAACACCAAAATCAATTAACCTTTAGCTCGCTTGGTACAAACTCCTCCCAGCCTGCCTCTGACAGTTGAAGCTGGGAGCTCTTAAACAGCCACACCTTATTAGGCAGTCCTTAGTCACTACTATGACTGAAGGGCCACCAAACTGTCACTTCAAGAAGTATCACTGACAACCACCTTTCTGTCCAAGCTCACCAGCATGTTCAGCATGTTTTATAATATTGGAAGTGTTTTCCTAACAAGTTCTATGAGAAATTCATGTACTCCTTTACTAGATTTCTAAATGCTGTGGTGGCTGCAAAGAGTCACATCAGGTCTACTGCCAGCATACCCTGAGAAAGTTTCAAAGCACAGAAGCAATTCCATCGTGAAGCCCTTCATGGGAGAAACAAGAGTCACTGCTAACAACCAACAGGTATCAGAAAGGGCTGCTGCAGCCTTAGGATCTTTCTCCTGCACACCTTCCCCAAGCCATAACAAATACACTGAGACCCATATTAGTGGAAGCATTTTCCACATTGTCCTAATTTGAGTCTGTTATTGTGATGAGGCACTAACCTTTTGGTCAGGGGAGGAAAAGTTTTATTTAACTTATAGGTTGCAGTCAACTGACAGAAGCCAGGCCATGAAAGGAAAGCAGGGGCAGGAAGCAGAAACCATGGAGAAACACTGCTTACAGGATTGCTTCTCTGGCTTGCTCAGCTACCTTAAACAGGACAGTCCTGCAGGGCTAGGGTTGGTACCACCACAATGGGTTGGGCCTGTCCGCATCAAGTAGCAATCAAGAAAATGCCCTGTAGACCCTACAGACATGGCCACAGGACAACTGGTCTAGAAAATTCTTCAGTTGACCTACACTCTTTCCATTTATGCCAAGTTAACAACTGTCAGGGTTTCTATTGCTGGAATCAAACACCATGACCAAAAAAGCAAATTGGAGAGGAAAGGGTTTCTTAACCTCCTTACACTTATACATCTCCGTTCATCACCTAAGGAAGTCAGGACAGGAACGCAAACAGGGCAGGAACTGGAAGGCAAGAGATGATGAAGAGGCCATGGAGGGGTGGCTGATGCAGAGATCATAGAGCAGGGATGTTTACTACTTCCTTTTCATGCGTGCTCAACCTGCTTTCTTATAGAACCCTTAAACACCAGCTCAGGCGCGGCCCCACCCAAAAAGTGCTGGACCCTCTCCCATCTCACCAACCGAGAAAATACCCTTGTCAAAACCAGTCTTTTTTTTTTTCCCTCACAGATCAGTCTTAAATGAAAACATTCTCTTAATTGAGGTTCCCTCCTCTCAGATGACTCTAGCTTGTATCAAGCTGATTTAATTATCTAGCACAACAAATGAAATTATGACACTAATGATGAGTTTTGCTTATGCGTCAGGTTTGAGCCACATTAGTCTACACATGTTCCCTGTGTCTGGATGTTTAAGAAGAGTAGTAGATGATTTCCTGGAGAATTCAACTAAACCTCTTCCAAAAGTTTCTTTAGATGCTGGTATGTCATTATCTAGTACCAGGACTATGACATGAACTATAAGGGAAATCTGGGCAAAATAAGGGAAATTAGAAGTAATTACACATATACGCACAGTAAAGGGCACTGGAGCTGATTCATTTATGCATACTATAATTTATATTTAGCCTCTGAAGGAGCCTGAGAGCTATAGACTTTAAACCCCGGATGTCTCACTTCGGCAACTATCATAATTGCCTTCCAAAACAATGTCAAATAACATTATACTGTCAATTCCTAATTATGCACATGAAGAGAGCCCAGGGATACAAGGATAATTGGCATTCACAATTAATCCTCAAACTTCATTTTGACTAATAGTTAAAGCCTCTCCCATGACTAAACCTCTTCCCAGAGTACTGAATGTAGCAAAATCGACTAGTTAAATGTTTGACTTTGCTGTCCCCTGGCTATCCTTCAGTTGAAACATGAAATAGTAGTCAGTCAACCGTGAAGAGATGGAAGAAAAACATAGAAGCTACATAATTAACAAATTTGAAAACAAAATGCTGAAAATTAGCTTTGTTTACATTTGCAACTGTGACTTAGCAGCATTTTTTGTAAGATCTGTGTGTAACATAGGAACTCACAAAGAGTATGGCAGGCCACACAAGACTGAAAGACTTAAAAATTAACCAAGAAATATAGCCCAGATAAGGAAACTCTCCAAACTGAATGTAGGGCATCCTAACCCAGAAACTAAGGTCACTACTATGACTTAGGGCCTGGAATTTACCAGCTTACAAGGCCATAAGATAACTGGGTACCAATAATTCCCAGATGGCCACCCTCCCCGAGGGCTCATGGAGGAAACAGATTGCCCCACTGGCCAATGTGTCAATAATTAACAATTAAGGGTCCCTATAAAACAAAGAGATAGCTACCATTTGCTCAAGCAAGATAAGCATATCCTGAGGTCTGCAGGTTTTACAACTGGTGGGTCAGGAGGCCATCTGATTCCCAGCCCTCTCCTCAAGACAAAGGGCCTCCTAGGAACCCATGACTCTGGTCACACCCCTCCCTAAGCTTGTGGTTTTTTGCCTTTAAAAACGCCTATGCCTGGGGGACAGGGCAGCTCTCTAGCCTGCATGCTGAGAGAGCCCGTTTATATAAATGTCCACCTTTCATTAAAGCCTCTTGCTGTTTGCATCAAGTTTCTGCCTCCTCATGGTGAGTGGGGTGGCCACAGTCCTGGGAAAAGATTCTGGAGACCTGAGCTTCTGGGGGTCTTACAAAGACCTTACAGCTTTAAGCCAGATGGAGAGGGAAAGTAGACTTAGGGCCCCAACCCTAACAAAGAAGCTATCTGCAATTGACACTGGTTGGCAAGGGAAAGGTCTGTTTTCTTTAGTGGTTTCACTGGGCAAATCACATCCCAGATCAGGCCTAATGGCCTGGAGTGGCTGTAAACCATGAAATGAATTCAAAGGTATCTTTGTAGAGTTTTGTTTCAGTTTGTTTTGGGCATTTTTGTCATATTGGTCTTTTGCCTTTTTTTGACTTTTATTTTTGGGGTTTTGGGGGGAGGGCTGCTGGGGTTTTTTTGTTTGTTTGTTTGTTTTACTTTTTGTGGGTTTTGTTTCTTATTTTTGCTTTTGTTTTTATGGAAACCATAAAACTGTGTGGGGAGGGAGATTGGCAGGATCTGAGAGAAGTTGGGGAATCGGATAAACATGATCACAATATATTGTACGGAAAAAATGTTAATTAAAAATAAGATGGTTGGGTAAACTGAAGCATGCTGCAGTTTTAATTCAGGGCTCTTCTGGTAAATTCCATAACTCTGACTTTCTTGTTTAAAGTTTCACTGTATAAGAATCCTGTATTTATTTTACAAATATATCTTCAAAATGCTATCAAACTATTAGTCTCATGTTAATAGCTAAACTATGTATAGAGAAATCACTTTCAGGCCAACAAAATTTTTATAAATGTTTTGTTGAAATTCACTGACAAGGACACTGGAAACCCTTATACTTGGTGCAGATGAATTCAGAAATTACAACTAGAATTATTTTTTTAATTTAAAGGGAACATGCTTGAACAAGTAACCTGTTTGAGTTATGAAAACAGGTTATAAAGACTCAATTACAACACTAAGGCACCCACATATTTTACTCAAATTGATTTCAAGATCCAGGCTTCTTTAACACTTTCGCTCACTTCTGTGTGGCTCCCTAAAATATGGACATGTGGCTAAGCCTACTAAGCTCACAAAATGGATCACTGCTGAGCGTATGAGCTCTTGAATTAAAACACAAGGGATTATAACTACAAATGAATTAAGTAAGATTTTTACTGTCTTTGACATCTTTATGGATAACCATCTTTCTTTTCTGCTGAAAGAAAAGAATTGCATGGCTCTTATAAACACTGCCTTACAAATCTAAGGCCTTAGAAGTATTAGTGAATGTAATTTTTCTTTTCAAGGACAAAGGTTTCTTTATTGACTCGAGGATACGAGCTGCAGCAAGGACCCCATTCGTTCAGGAACAAATGGAGTACCCACTTTCTACTGACAGGTGTTTTTATAAGGGAAAATTGTAGGGCTGGAAGCCCTAAGATTACAAAACTTCTGTGGTTACACAGAATGGTTGTATGCTCCAGGCAAGGTGCAATTAAGCAGGATGCTACAGAGGAAATAAGTTTGCTAATTATCTCCTGGGCTGGGAACTTCTACAAATGATAACTATCTGAACCTCTTTGGATTAGAGGAATGTCAACACGGCTCAAGAGTGTGATATCTGGACTAAGGCCTTGAGTCATGGAAACCTTCGTTTAACCTTTGGTAAAGGTTTTTAAGTTAACTGGAAGGATGAGTAAAAAAAGGACAGGAGACTAGTGAGTGTAATTATATGCATAAAATGATTCAATTTTTCTAGGACCTCCACTCATAACTGCTCATGATCTAAACATTTGTCATCTCATTCCACCAACATTTAGTGGCCCAACAGAGGGTGGGGGATAGGTACTTAATCAGTGCTTATCACTAAATAGCCAAAACCAAAACTACTGAAGAAGGTAGCCAGCCTACAAGGGGCAAATTATTTAGGACTGCACAACTGGACCCAGTGCAAGACCCTGACTGCAGTCTGGACTGCATTCTTTAAAGCCAGAGGCGCAGGTGTCCCTTAATCTCTCTTAATGATGGAAGTTATTGCGAAGGTATTCTGAGGATTTTCTTTTTAGGACAATCACTAAATCACAGGAGAACTGAATCAATTTCTTGAGGCACCTTGATGTCAAAAACAGCCTTCCATCATCCTACAGGTCCTGGGTCCTGGAAGGCATCCCTATGCTCAGGGCCACATATGAACCTCCACACCTAGAAGGGCTTCAGGAGGCGGCTGCCACACGCTGGGGCGCCATGGGCTCCACCTGGGCCTCCCACGTCACTGCATCAGGTGGGGCGGTCCACAGGCGCCCCCAGGGGCAGCCCCTGCGCAGGCCCCGTCAGTCACCAGAAGGATACGCTCCAGGTAGTAGGCGCCATCGCCGGCAGAGGCGGCCCCCGTCTCTGCCGTGTCGTCCGTGGGCGAGAAGCTGATGCCCAGCGCCTCCTCCAGCACCCGCATTGGCGGCACCCCACGCGAAGCAGCCATCCCGACAGCCGGGCCCCCACGGCACCCCACGGAGCACCACGGACCGGCGAAGCAACTCTCGCGAGATCTCGGGACCCTTCGCCCTGGACCAGCCGAGTACCAGAGGGCGAGGGCCCTCGCCCTCTGCGCGCGTCCCCAGTTACCACGGCAACGCGTTGCCTAGCTACCCCAGACGCCCCACGCGGCTGGCAGAGGAGACTAGATGCCACAAACCAGGGCCTTGGATTACAATTTTTACCCAGGCTACTTGTTTAGGGTTTTGCTTTTGCTTGCTTTGGTCTTTTGCTTTGACACCGTTCTTTCTCGCTTTCTTTTCTTCATTGCTTTCCTTCTCTCTTGTTTCTCAACTTTTATGTGTGTAGAGAACCCCAAATGTCTCTAGTGGGGGACAGACTTAAAGAGGAATAGCTCTAGAAACCATTATTGGCCGAGTGAGGAGCTGCCAAATGCCCCTCAAACCCTTAGCAATGGAGAATGAGGGGGCTCACCTGTATCACACCTTGCTAGCGATCTTTTAATCCGTTTATGTGGACATCTGTTTGGACTTGGCTTCATACGCACCGGCCTGGAATAGTCCCAGTCGCATCAAATTATAGCATTGATTTTTGCTGAGGTAAACCCACGTCCATAAAAATTATGAGCTACCTATGACCCTAACATAAAGTTTAACATGGTATTTGGACTAGGGAATGTAGCTAAGTGCTTCCTTTGAGTGAAGAGGTCAGGGAGGAAGGGGAGGAGATGAATGGGCGAACCAGAAAGAGAAGAGAAGAGACAAAGAGAAGGAGGGGGGAGGGAAAGGATTAACTGATTTGTCCGGTCATGTGCCTTATTGTTGTGACCGGAATTTCTTCGCCTTTATATGGTGTGTGTCGATAGACATCATTAAGACCCTCTTCCTTTTAGATTCTTTTTATTCTGCATTTCCTGATGATTTCCAGTTGGTAACTATATAAAAGCTCCCCTTTACAAGAAGGAAAGAAAGGAGGAGGGAAAGGAGGGGGGAATTGATAACTTTCTAGGGCGTGACTGACAACCCCAGTGGTGGAAGCTGGAACTAACCAAGAGCCAATTTCTATCAGGATTTACCTATAGCCACACCACTAACTGCCTACAGGCCTCAGTCTCCTCGTTTGTAAGCTAAGAATAATGCCACCTACTTCAAATGGTTGCTATTAGCTATAAATCAACAAAGCATTAGGAACCCATTCAGAGCATACAGCACTAAGAAATATGAACTGTTTCTATTAAACATGTTTGTCTTGGCTCTGAGCTTTAGTATAGAGGACACAATGATATCAAAACAGTTCAAGTTGCTGTCATTTTCTCACACCTAACATTGAGTGTCCATTAAATGCATGGAACTGAAAATATAGAAGAGGAATTCTGGAAATGGGAGATCCCTTGAGTCTGCTTGTCATTTCAAAGGAAGCATGACCTCAACTACCAAGATGCTTATCAGTAAACTGAGCCCTGAAAAGGGACCTAGGTAAGCAGTAGCCAGGGCCATGCACTGTTGATGCCTAGAAAGGCAAGCAGAAATGTGAGACCTGCAGAGGACAGTCTCTTGGGGCTTCTAATGTTTAGTTTATTATCTGCTAGAAAGTCTCTGTTGTCTTTGAATGGAGTGTGTCCTCTTCTTCAGATAGCTTGATGACAAAGGCCTTCCTCTTTGTTAAATATATATATTAAGCTCCCTGAATTACACTTACTGTTCTCTTATAAATACTTTAAAAATCTCTCTACCTAGATATAGAATTAAATGGAAAAAAATAAAAAGTAAAATACATAAAAAGTTCTTTCCCAGAACTCGGGAGGCAGAGGCAGATGGATTTCTGTGAATTTGAGGCCAGGCCTGGTCTAGAGAGTGAGTTCCAGAACAGCCAGAGTATTTAAAAAACACACACACACAGAGAGAGAGAGAGAGAGAGAGAGAGAGAGAGAGAGAGAGATCTTATCATCATTTCTGATATATCAAATATTTTCTACAAGTAATGTAAATAAAATTTGCTAAAATAGTGTGACTATATAGCAACCAAATTGAATATTTACAATAAACTCTTTAAAAAGAGTTTAAAACATGGGAATTATATATGGTAAAGCACAATCCTTATAGAAATAGTCAGTACTTGAACATAAGAAATAAGTTAACAGAATCGTGAAATACAATATATAGCCAGTATTGACTGTATAAGATAGAGCAGTCAGAGATACTTGTCAAAAGGTCTGGAAATGAAAAAGAGGTATTTTACACCCCTAAAAAGAAAATATGTGAGTTTCATTATGTCAGGCTTCCAAATAACAAAGGTATTAATTGAGTTACTAATCCATTTATTTCCGTGTAATAGATTTCAGTTTGGAAACTCACACAAGATGTGGTTATTACATTTGAAAGTATGTTCCAGATACCTGATCATTAATGTTTTAAAAAATTCAAATTAAAAGTAGTTTTAGCAAGTCTGTAAGCTCTTTGATATCTACAGTAGATAAACAATGTTTTAAAGAACAATTTGATTTTAAAAATGCTTTCAGATTATAGAAAAGAAGGAATCTGTGATGACTGCTACTCTCTTAGAAGTCCTATGTCTTTGCAAAGAATGCATTTGAATGCTGCCTTGGTGTGGTCTGAATTGCTAGTCTGTAGACATTGCTTTAATTTTAAGAGAGTTGGGAAAAAGAACACACACAGACACACAAAACTTTAGACTACAAAGTGGTTTGAGGCATGGTATATTTTTATCCTATAGATGTTCTTTTTCCCTTTTTTCTTTTTTGATATGTTTTACATGCTTCCTTAAGGTGGGCATGAAAAAAAGAAAAGAAAAAGCCAAGTGCCTTAGCATTTTGATGAATGAGCAAGAAACTGCTTTTTGCTTTGACTGTGTTCTCGAAAGAGGTAAACAAAGAAAACAGCAGAGACAGTCAAGATGAAGCAACAATTACAAAGGACAACAAATGTAATCTCCTCCCAGCCTAAATGCTCCATTTATGCAAAAGTGAAATTATTTTTAAAAGCAAAACCAGAAAGCAATCTGGCAATGAATACACTTTGCATGTGTATAGTTTCAAAGGAGAAAATACCCACATGCAAATATGTTGCCAAGTACAATTCAATTATCAAAGATAATGGCATCCATTTGCTACCAATACAACCCAAGCCATTTATTGATGCACCTTTTTATACCAGTAGCTTTCTTATTTTCATTCAAAACTTCACAGTAAGTGGTAGTCAGGTTTAGAATTTCTGAATTCATAGAAATAGTAGCAATTGTGCTGAAAATTATCATTTTTTCCAACCACATGCGATATATTTTTCCTTTTTGCACTAGCATCCATTTGAAAATACATTCCTCCCATTTCCTTTCCCTGTGTAATTCCAACTGTCAGTCAGTTCTCGGTGGTGAGAAACATGTGACACAGCTCAACTCAGAAGAACTTCTCATTTCTTTTGGCTACATCAAAAAACTCTGATTTTCAATATAATTCTCAGTTTCTAGTACTTTCAAATTAAAAGGAATGAGGGCTTCCTGGAAAAAGTAGATGATTTTCAGCCTTGCCCAGAAAGGTACAAAAGGACTCTGAGGAAATTTTACAGTACCAGAGAGTAAAGGGGAAAAAAGTCTGTCCTGCTAAAAAGAAAAAAATTACAATGATGGGGCTATATCAAAAGGATACAGTCATCCCCTGAAGGAGTTACAATAGGCAAAGTCAGGCCAACTGTTAAAGTTGATAAAATAGTGTTGGAATATAAGCCAAAGTTCAAAATTAATATCTGAGTCCACGCTTTCATTAGTAAATGTTTTAACAAATAAATGAGGGATGAGGACAGCCTATGAAGAACTAACTATTATAAAAATTAAATAATTCCATAAAAACAAAATTGGTAACCATAAATACAAGAAAAAGGTCAAAAGCCAAAAAAAAAAAAAAAATCCTCCACAAAGCAATATGAGACAGGAAATCTACAAAAATACCACTGACTTTGTTTTGGGTTGGCCATCTGCTGCTGGTCATAGTGCCTACCCTTAAGTGTAGTTAACATATCCAGAGAGACTTCATTGGTGAGAACTAATTTCTCCTCTGTAGGATGTCAATTGGAGGTAGCCTCGTGCTTGTGCACTTTTAAATTGTGGATTACACATAGCAAGTCCTAAAGAAAACAGCATAGAGATGTTGGAGGATTTGTGACTTTACACTTTTAATTAAGACACTACTGTAAATAAATACAGATACATACATACATACATACATACATACATACATACATACACACACACACATATCTATCATCTTGCAAGTTTTCCTGTTTTTATTTTCCATCTTAGGACTTCAATTCACCTGTAATTTAGTTTTCTGTAAAAGAAAGTAGATCCCAGGCAGTTAGTCAATAATACCAGAAACCTTTGTAAAAACAAACTTACTTTCTCATTTAAAAACATCATTATACCAATTTTTATTTAAAGTGAAACTTGTTTACAGAACATTTATAGCATTCCTTCACTCTGTTTGCCAGTTTGTATACACATGCCTTATTGATTTGTGTTCAATGATTTTTGACAGTTTTTATTTTTTGCTATCTGGAAACTCAAGTTCATTTCCTTGTTCCTTTTGAATATTTTCCTGGCTTTCTTCAGGTAATAAACATTAACCTTATTTCATAAAGACTTCTCTCTACACATTTTAGCATTCTGACTGACACCAGACTAAATTTGCATATTCATTCTGGATGAATTGACTTCATAATGAAGTGACTCTGTTCAAAGACATAGTAGACCTATCTGTTTGTTCAATCTCATTTTATCTTTTTCAATCAGATTTTATATTTCGACTGTGAAATATTTCTGTTTAAAGCAGCCAAAATACCATTAAAGTAATTTACTCTGTCCCTTTAAATAAAGATTGAACAAAGAGATCCTCACTAAATATTTTCCCTGCAGCTTTCAATTATGATGATGACTTCTTTGATTAAAATAATTTATTCTGTCCTGTGAAGCAGTCTC